GGGGCTCCATCTGGTGAGAGCCTTTGTGCTGGTGGGGGCTCTGTGGTGTTCCGAGGTGGGTGCAGGGCGTCACATGGCGAGGGGCTGAGTGTCCTGACACGCTTGCTCAGGTCTCTCTTCCTCCGCTTACAAAGCCACCAGTTCCACTCCCATGACAACCCATTCATCACCTCTTAAAAGCCACACCTTTCAATCCTGCCACGTGGGGGATCAAGTTTCCAACACAAGACATTTCAGGGACACATTCACACTATAGCAAGTAGATTCTCAAACACCTAACCGAGGCTGAAAGGAAAAAGCAGCCCATCTGTTGTTAATGTATACTCTGCCCGCGTACACACACACACACACACACACACACACACCCCCACACCCACACACACCCCCACACACACCCACCCCCTTCTGGGAAGTCTTGTCAGAGTGCTGGATTCTTTTGTATTTTTTGTCAACCATGGTTTAAGAAACCAACATCAGGTTGTCTCCCACAAGTCCTTGTAAGGAAATCCAGTGGCTTCCCGAGGCCTGTTTTGGATTCTGTGGCACAGCCTGGGAAGACAGAGGCTTTTCCGCACTGACCTATTCCTAGCAGCAGGTCCACTTAGGGCTCATTCAGATGCAGCCTCTGAGGCTCCACCCCTGACCTACTGAGTCAGAATTTTTACCAAGATGCCTGTGCCTGTGTTTCATATGTACAGGCAAGAGTCCTTGTTCCAAAACCCTGATGCAGTTTTAGAATTTTTGAGGTATTCTCTTTATTTTTATTTTAAATTTTTTCTTTGGAATTAATTTTAAAGTTAGGGAAGATTGCAAGAACAGTACAGAGACTTCCAAATACCCTTTCCTTCACTTTCCCCATTTTCTCTTTCTCTTCTTCACCTACCCCCACCCCCTCATTCTATTTTTCCTCAAAAAATAGAGAAAGAAAATCACTCCTTCCCAGCCTTGTCCTGGATGCCTGGCCCCAACACCTGGGGAAACCATCTGACAGTAACTGATGGTTTTCCCGAGAGGTAGGCAGATACAAGGCATGTTTTAAAAATTATTCTGTTCCTTTTTTGCTTGTCACATAGATACTAGTAATATAAAAGTCCTATGAGTTAATTTTATTTTTTCCACAAAAATTTTATTTTGTGGTCCTTTCCAATTATATAAAGGACTGCTTTATTTTCCTGGTTTCCTAGTATTGTATGGATATACCATCATTTTTAAAACGAAAATTAGGCCAGGCACCATGGCTCATACTGGTAATCCCAGCACTGTGGGAGGCTGAGGTGGGAGAACTGCTTGAAGCCAAGAGTTTGAGACCAGCTTGGGTGACACAGCAAGACCTCATGTCTACAAAAGTAAAAAATTAGCCAGACGTGGTGGCTCACACCTGTAGTCCCAGCTACTTGGGAGGCTGAGCAGGAGGATTGAGCCCCGGAGGTTGAGGCTGCAGTGAGCTGTGATTGTGCAGCTGCACCCCAGCCTGGGTGACAGACGGTCTAAAACAATATAAAGATAAAAATAGAAATTAAAATCAGTTTTTTGACACATTCCCATGGTCCATGATTCAAAGTTTATGAAAAAAATCTCCCTGCTACACCTAACCCCAGAGTCCTAGGTCCCTCTTCAGAGGCAGCTAAGCTTAGGAACTCCTACGCCCTGCACTTGGTGGCCATCTGGATTCCATCATGCACAGGTGTTTTCCTGCAACAACACACTTTGAAGAGAATTCCTTCTCGGTGCAGAGAGGCCTTCATTCTTTCTGTGCGTGTAGGATCATCCCTTGGGAGGTTTCTGTAGCTTACTTAATCCGCTGTCTTGTTGATGTGTGTCAAGGTTTCCAGTATTTATTAGATCAATGCTGCAGTGAAGCAGCTTTTATAGACTTCACATTGCACATGTGCGACATAAACTTAAGAAATCTCTGCATTGAGGGGTGAGCACGCTGGTTACTTCTGGACATTGTCCAGCAGCCCACCATAGGAGTGGTGGATGTGCAGCCTCCCCAGCAGAGTAGGAAGACCTGTTTCTGCACATCCTTGGCCACCCAGCAAGGTAGCTGCCATTTGGGTTTTGCCAAACAAGATAGGGATGAGGTGGATCCAAGAGCAGAAATTACAAAGCAGTGTGTCCCCTGGAGCCTGGACCTGGGGTAGTCAGTCTCCTTTCTCTCCCTTCTATCTGCACATGTTGCTTTGGGCTGTTCCCTCAGCCCCAGCTTCCACCCCCTGCTCCCCTAGTGCTATGGTCTGAATGTTTTTGTGTCCCCTCCCCACAACTTTGACATGTTGAAATGCTAGCCCCCAAGCTGCTGGCATTAAGAGGTGGGGCACTGGAGAGATGATCAGGTTATAAGGGCAAATCTCTCATAAATGGATTAGTGCCCTTATAAAAGAGGCCTCAGAGAGCAGCCTTGCCCCTTCCACCATGTGAGAACACAATGAAATGATGGCCATCTATGGAGCAAGGAACTGGGCCCTCACCAGAACCCAACTATGCGGGTATCAGCTGGAGACTTCCCAGCCTCCAGAACTGTAAGACATACATTTATGTTGTTTATGAGTCCCCAATCTGCGGTATTTTGTTAGAGCAGCCCAAATGGATTAAGACAGAAAATTAGCACCAAAAATTTGGGGTGCTACTCTAACAAATACAATGTGGAAGAAGCTTGGGAACTGGGTAATGGGTAGAGGCTGAAAGGGTTTGAAGTGCAGGCTGGAAAAAGCCTGTGTTGTCGTGAGCAGGCAATTTTTTTTTTGAGATGAAGTCCTGCTCTGTCACCAGGCAGGAGTGCAGTGACGCGATCTCTGCTTGCTGCAACCTCAGCCTCCTGAGTAGTGGAGATCACAGACGTGCACCACCACACCTGGCTAATTTTTGTATTTTTAGTAGAGACGAGGTTTTCCCATTTTGGCTAGCTAGGCTGGTCTGGAATTCCTGACCTCAGGTGATCTGCCAGCCTCAGCCTCCCAGAGCACTGGGATTACAGGTGTGAGTCACCGTGCCCAGCCCATGAACAGACTATTACTGGTGATTCTGGTGAGGCTCCAAAAGAAAAGAGGAGATTTGATATTCTCAACCAGAATGTTGGTGAAAATGTGAACAGTTAAGCTATTCTGATGAGATCCCAGATGGAAATGAGAAATGTGTGGTTGGCAATGGAGGAAAGGCTATCCTTCTTTTAGTGGCAAATCAGTTGGCTGAACTGTGCTTATGTATTAGTGTTTTGTGGAAGGTAAACTTACAGGCCACTGCAGTTGGATATGTGGCCACAGAAATATCTAAGCAAAGTTTTGAAGGTGCAGCTTGTGAAATGTGAAAAGAGAGAAGTGATTTAAAGATGGGACTGTTACTTAAAAGGGAAGCAGAACTTAAAGATCAGGAATATTTGTCAGCCTATGTTGATAAGAGTGAGCCAGCCTGTTTAGGAGAGAAGATAAAGGTTTTGCCATTGAAACTGAGGCTGGGAGCTAGTCCAAGAAAATGGAAAAATGACCCCAAAAGCAATTCAGAAATCATCAGAGCTGTTCCGCCCATCACAGGCCCAGAGCACAAGACCCGCAGCAAGCAGGGGACCATAGCAGAGAGCCCCGCTTCAGTCAACCCTGAAGCCCTAGATGGTAGGGCCATCAGCAGAGTTCCAGCCCAAGAGAGCCTTGGACCTCTGAAAGAGACACAGAGCTGCCACAGAGGTGGAGCCGCCACAGAGGTGGGGCCACCACAGAGAACCCCCTTGAGGGCAGGCCCTCACTAGGGGCTGCCATGGGGCAGGACCACCCAGGGCCTTGGGGGCTCAACTCCTGCCCAGTGAAGGTGCCACCTGTGGGTTTGGAAGGTGGGGTCACCTCCCAACACAGTGGGCCTAGGGAGCACGGTATCAAGACAAAAAGGATTATTCTCGAGATTAATCTCAAGCCGTAAACCATAATGTGCTATGACCTGTAGGTTTAGGACTTGCTTGGGACCTGTTACTCCTTTTCTTTTTTTCTATTTCCCTTTTTTGGAATTGGAATGTTTATCCTGTGCCCATTCCACCTCTGTGTGTGGGGGGGGGGTTCTTTTTTTTTTGAGACGGAGTCTCACCCTGTTGCCCAGGGTGGAGTGCAGTGGCATGATCTCAGCTCACTGCACTCCGCCTGCCAGGTTCAAATGATTCTCCTGCCTCAGCCTCCCAAGTAGCTGGGATTACAGGCACCCACCACCATGCCGGGCTACTTTTTGTATTTTTGGTAGGGATGAGGTTTCACCATGCTGGCCAGGCTGGTCTCAAACTCCTGACCTCAGGTGATCTGCCCGCCTCGGCCTCCCAAGGTGCTGAGATGACAGGTGTGAGCCACCACGCTGGCCTCACCACTATATTTTGAAGGCACATAACTTGTTTCATTTCACAGGTTCACAGCTGGAGAAAATTTTGTCTCAGGTAGAATTGTGCCTTGAGTCTGAACCGTAACTGATTTAGATAATATTTAAATGAGATGTTGGACTTTGGACTTTTGAGTTGATGCTGGAATGAATTAAGACTTTGGGGGTTATTGGGATGGAATGAATTTGTTTGGCATGTGAAAAGGATATGAATTTGGGGGGAACCAGGGGCAGAATGCAATGGTTTCATTGTTTGTATCTCCCCAAAATTTGTGTTGAAATTGTAATCCCCAAGATGATGGTATTAGGAAGTGGTGCCTTTTGGGGAGATGATCTGGTAACAAGGGCAAAGTCCTCATGAGTGGGATTAGTCCCTCCTAAAAGAGGCCCCGGAGAACTCCCTTGCCCTCTCCATCTTGTGAGGACACAGAAGATGCCTGTGTTTGAACCAAGAAGTGGGCCCTCACCAGGCACCCAGCCTGCTGGTGCCTTGATCTTGGACGTCCAGCCTCCAGAACTGTGAGGAACAGATTTCTGTTGTGTAGAAGCTGCCTGTCCTAAAGCATTGAGTTATCACAGCCTCAATGGACTAAGACTGAGACACCTAGCTCTTCCCGGACTGAGGCATCCCTGTTCTACTGTGCTTTCAGAATCGGGTTTCTCCGTTCAAGGACATGATTTTATGCTTCTCTGAAGAGGATTGGTCCCTTCTAGATCCTGCCCAGACTGGCTTCTATGGAGAGTTCATCATTGGGGAGGATTGCGGGGTCTCAGTTCCTCCAAGTAAGACTTAACTTCCCCCCGTACCTCAAGACCAGGGAACTGGGCAGGGGGGTTCTCACTTGGAGTAAGAGTCAACTTCGTCCCATAAGATCAGGGAAGCGGGGCCTGCATCATATTTCTCTGTTCACCCCCAACCTGGATGGGAAGTCATTTGCACACAGCGGCCCTATAGGCAGTGTGTCCGACTGATCACCTGCCGTCTCACCTCATCAGGCTTATCAGAACCAAATAGAACACGTGCTGTATGTCCATTTCTCTTCCATCGCTCTTACCCTTTCGTCCCTTTACTTCTGCTTTACACCCAAAAGCCTCAGAGAGACCCCCAAGCCCATAGCTCTCCCTGCGTGTGCTGCCCCCACTGCCCCTGCGCTGCCGGCTCTGGCGTTTTCACTTCTCGCCCCTGACGGTGCCACGCCCGCTGGGCATCCCTCCACCTTTTCTCTTCTGGACCAGCCCTGGTTGCTGCAGGATCAGATTACTAATAAACATGTATCCTGCCTTTTTCTTTGAACAGACGAGCTAGCAGCCCAGCCGGATCTCTCCCAGAGAGAGGAGAATGAGCCTCGCGTTCCAGAGCCGCAGGATCTGCAGGGGAAAGAAGTGCCCCAGGTCTCCTACTTGGGTGAGTAGTGATTCCGGAACTGAGTGGACAGAGTAGGGTGAAGGGTTGCTGGCAGCCAGAGATGAGCCCACTTGCTGGCTTCTCTCTGCAGCCCCTACTTGCCTTCTTCATTTTCCCAGACTCTATGTGGGTCTTGCATGTCTTGCCTTGTCCCTGTCTTTTCATAGAAAGAATGGGGGATCTTAATTTTGCCAGGCATTGGGATTGTACTCCCTCAGCCAAGGACTGGGAAATAATAGGAATGTCTGTCTCCTCTGCCTGTAAGTAACATCTGGTTTGTGCTGACCATACAGCGACCCCTCCAGGAGTGAGGTCAGATACTCACGACAAGCCTGGTTGCAGAGGGAGTGTCTCCTCCTAACTGGGCACTGAGCACAGCCCTTTGAGGTGCCTCACCTGTCTAGTCTTCCGTCTGCCTGGTGCAGGGGTGCTGTGAGGACACTGGGGTGTGGGGAGGTGCTGGGGCTCAGCAGCAGCAGTTTCCAGCCCTCCTTCAGGCTGTGTCACCAGCGCTTGCACCCATGATCTCCATGCCATGGTGCTTCGAGGCACCTGCTCCTTCAGGAGGAAATTTGACAGAATCATCAGCAGCTCCACACCTCCTTCCCCTTTGGGACCTAGAGCGTGAAGCAGACAAGGTTTTGACACACCATCCCCACCTGGAACAAGCGTTCAGAGACGGCGTGGCACAGTAGCTCCTGTCCCATCTCTACCCCGTAGGCTCTGCACAAGCTGTTTGTGCAGGATGTGCAGAGTGTGCAGAAGCCTGTGGTGATGACTATGGAAAACCCACCACAGAAAGTGGGAATAAATGCGGGGCTGGGGGAGGTACTTGTCTCTGCCATAGAGTAAGTAGAGTAGAACCCAGATCTGCGTAGACTCTGTCTAGCTTCAGAGCTCATGTTTGTGGAGTTGGCCCATTCTGCCTTCAAGTTCATTCGCTCAGCAGACACTTCCTGAGTGGCCACCCCCTGCCAGTCCCCAGGAGGGAGCCCAGGGCCGCCCCCAGATCATAGTCTGGCATCTGTTCAGATAGCACCCTCCCAGGTAGTGCTGTAGGTGCAAGACAAATCAATTTTTCCGTTTCCTCCTCTGGAAAGACTCTTCAAGTCTCCAGCCATTCCAAGTAGAAGAAAGGAGGAAACGTGAGGAGCTGCAGGTGCCGGGGTTCCAGGCCTGCCCACAGACGGTGGTGCCTCAAAACACCTACCCAGGTAAAGAAGGGCCAGGGAGGTGTGGGGTGTGTGCCTGTGTGTCTGTGTGTTCACGTGTGTATCTGGTGTGTCGCATGAATGTATGTGTGCACGTGTGGCATGGGGGATGGTGGTGTGGAATGCATGTGTGCGTGCATACACATGGTGTATGTGGTGTGCTGCATGTGTGCGTGTGTGCGTTCCCAGGTGCACCTGTGTGTTGGGGGCATGTGGGTGTGTGATGGAAATGTGCGGTGGTGAGGGCATGGGACAGTTAGGAATTGAACTTCTCAGGATCTCCGCGGACCGCTGCGGTGGTGTTCTTACCTGCTTGCCCAGATTCCTCTGTGCTGGGGTCATTCTCCAGCTCACTCCCAGTCCCGAGCTCACCCTCCTTGCCTTTTCTGGGGGCCAGGGAGGGTGTGTCAAAGCAGGGTGCTGCTGTAGTGCTGTTGGTGATGTGGCGAATGTTTTTCTTCTCTCAGCATGGATGGCCAGCATCCTGGCACAGGGTCTTGGAATTGGGATTAAAGAGCAGGTTTCTAGTGTACTGAAGCTGCACAGGACTCTTGGAAAGTGTATGTTCCATTCCTGCTTTCAGAGAAATAGCCACAGTGTAGACTCTGAGTCATCTTGGTAAAAGTCACCACCTCCAGAAGCAGAGGCTGCAATGCTGCCATCTTTCATAAGTTCTTCTAAATATCAAACCCAAGCCTCTGATTCTTACCGGAACCCACGTGTCACTGTAGTTTTCTGCAGCTGTGGAGACCGACTCACACGCATTACGTGTTCTACCTGTGATGCTTTTGAAGGCAAGATTTGTGCCATTTTACCCAGCTCCATGCATCTTGTACTTGGCCCCCTTTCATGCATGGACAAAGGGGCTTTTCTAGTGTGGGAGATCTGAAAGGATGAGATCCTGCTCCACAAGCATGGATGCCCACCCCTGGTTTTCTAAGGCCCACCTCTGCATGCCGAGGGCGATGCATTCTTTTGGGGTCCACGTGGAGTTCAAGCGCAGGCTTGATGTTTGTGATGCACTTTCAATCTTCTCCAGCTTCTTTCTGCCCATAGCATGTCTCTCAGCCCCATTAATATACTTTTAGAAGATGGATGGATGTTCATTTGTACACAGGAGTTTTCAACTCCGTTCTTCCCTTGTTGGACTCTGACACAGACTGCTCTGAAACAGTCAGAAGCCAAGGGTTGCTACTGAGAAGGGAGAGATGATAGATTTCAAAGAGTGGGCACTGTTTTTATTTTGGTAGCTCCTGCCAGCTTGCCTTCCTAAAAGGCTTTTCCCGCCAGCTGATACCGGGTAGCTGGTGACAGGTCTGCTTCTCTATATCCACGCCCACACAGGACACTCCCAGATGTTGCTTACCCTCTGGTGTTTTGGGCAGACTTCTAGCAGTCTCATCTGCTGTCTCCAAGGAATTTTCTTCATATTGTTGTGTTGATAGCACATAAAAGGACTATCCTTGATTTATTTCCCCTTTTGTAGAAATTATGCATCGAATTTTGGTCATTTTAGCTGATTTGAGGTGATGTTGTCCACTGTGAGCTATATTACTCTGTTAGGGCTTTCATAACAAGTACCACAGACTAGGTGGCCTAAACAACAGAATTTTATTTTCTCACTATTGCAGAGGCAACTAATAGAAGATCAAGGTGTCAGCAGAGCTGGTTTCTTCTGAGGCCTCTCTCCTTGGCTTGGAGATGGCCACTGCCTTGCTGTGTACTCACGTGGTCTTACCTCTGTGTTTGTCAGTGTCCTGATCTTCTCTCATAAGGACACCAGTCATATTGGACTGTGGAGCCCACCTACCCATATGTCCTCATGTTAACTTAATTACATCTTGAAAGAGCCTATCTTCAAATACAGTCACATTCTGAGGTCCTTTGGGGTTAGGACTTCAACATGAAATTTTGGGAGAACACAATTCATCCCCTGTAAGACCTCACCCTCAGGACCTTCAAAATTCATGTCTCTCCCACATGCAAAATCCATTCACCTCATCCCAACAGCCCCCAAATTCTCAGCCTATTTCAGCATCAACTGTAAGTCCAAAATCTCATCTAAATATCAACGTCTCAATTGGGTATGGGTTAGACTTGAAGTATGATTCATCCTGAGGCAAAATCCTCTCCAGCTATGAACTGTGAAGCCAGATGTTTTCTGCTTCCAAAGTACAACTGTGAGAACAGCATAGCATAGACCATTCTCGTTCCAAAAGAGAAATCCAAGAGAAGAAAGGGTAATGGGTCCCAAGCAAGTCTTAAATCTAGCAGGTCAGGGCTAGGTGTGTATTACGTGCCTGTAATCCCAGCACTTTGGGAGGCTGAGGCGGGCGGATCACCTGAGGTCAGGAGTTCGAGACCACCCTGGCCAACACGGGGAAACCCTTTCTCTACTAAAAATACAAAAAGTAGCCAGACGTGGTAGCACACACCTGTAATCCCAGCTACTCAGGAGGCTGAGGCAGGAGAATTGCTTGAACCCAGGAGGCAAAGGTTACAGTGAGCCAAGACTGTGCCATTGCACTCCAGCCTCGGCAACAAGAGCGAGACTCCATCTCAAAAAAAAAAAATCTAGCAGGTCATTTCCATGGGATTTTAAGGCTCAGGAATAACCTTTGGCTCAGTTCTCTGTTCTCCAGGCCCAGCAGGCTACTGGCCCTGCTCTTTGGAACTCAGAAGGAAACGACTTCACCTCCTGAGCCTGTACCCTCTGGTCCCGTGATGGCAGTGGCTGCCCTGTACCGTCTGTTCCCGTGATGACAGTGGCAGCCCTGTACCCTCTGGTCCCGTGATGACAGCGGCAGCCCTGTACCCTCTGAGCCACCTTTGGAATCATTCTTCCCTTTTCCTGAAGGATAGTCCATATTCATAGCCAGATAGCTCTGTCGGCCAGTTTGTAGAATCCCAGAAGTCCAATAGCCTTCTTTTGTTTCATCCCATCTCTTTTCCTCTCAGTTCCAACTGGCAGTGTTTCTGCTGGTGTATAACACTCAGAAACCCTGCCCTCCATGCAGTTCACAGGGTTGCAGGCCTTCAGACGAGGGTGTCCTCCGTAGACCTTCCTGGATAACCTCATCTGTGTTCCTGGCTTCTCTTGAGATGGTAGATTGGATCCATGAATCACACTCAGAATCTCTTTAACAGATGATGAGCCAGCCTCACTCTTGATGTCTCTCCAGTGCACACTTTCTTATTTTTTGCAGAATGGATAGACAGAATTTTCCAAATCTTGAGGTCATGGTTCCTTTTTGCTATAACAGTTCCTTCCTGAGTTTCTCTCTCATCTCACGTTTCACTGTAAGCAGCAAAAAACTAGTCCTTGCCTTTGACACTTTGCTTAGATATCTCCTCAGCTCAGTATCCAAGTTCGTCACTTACAATTTCTGTTTCCACAGAGTTTTGGCCAAATTCTTTGCCACTTTATAATTGGAGGATCTCCTTTTCTCCCGTTTCCTATAATGTCTGTATTTCTACCAGCCACCTCCTCAAGGCTTTTTAAACATGCACTTCAAAACTCTCCAAGCCTCTACCCATTACCTAGTTCTAAAATGACTTCGACAGTTTTTGGTCTTTGTTTTAGCTGCACCCTACTTCCTGGGCCAAAGTCTACATTAGTCCACTGTGGCTACCATAACGAAGTACCACAGGCTGGGTGACTTAAACAACAGAAACTTATTTTCTCACAATTCCAGAAGCAACAAGTCCAGAATCAAAGCGTCAGCAGAGCTGGTGTCTTCCGAGGCCTTTTTCCTTGACTTGGAGACGGCTCCCATCTTGCTGTGTCCTCACAGGGTCCTTCCCTTTGTTGAAGTCTGCCTCCAATCTCCTCCTCTTAGAAGGACACCAGTGATTTTGGATTGGCCCCACCATGTGACTTCATTTTGATTTAATTACTTCTTGAAAGACCCTGTCTCCAAGTAGTCACATGCTGAGGCCCTATGGGTTAGGGCTTCATCATGTGAATTTTCAGGGGGACACAATAACACGCACGGTCTGCTTTCACAATTCCATCTCCTCACCCGGTTAACAAATAGGAGATCTTAGCGGCCCACCTGCTCACTTTGTTTTCTTCTTCCACCCAAATCCATTAACAGAAGCCAACTGCCGATCAAGTACCGTGTTGTCGGCAGCCTGGTAAAAGTTACACCTTGCTCTTGTCTCCACCCCATGAGGTCCACAGAGTACATCACACACATGACCTCACCTGCCCCACCAGCACCTTAGATCGACTGGCTGCCACTGTCATGCTCACCTTATAGACGAGGTTACCCAAGCTCTGAGAAGCTGTCTGGCTGGAACGAGGTACCTGTAGCTAGAAAACCAAGAGTCGAGATGAGCGTCAAACATAGCCTCTCGGCGGGGCACAGTGGCTCACACCTGTAATCCCAGCACTTTGGGAGGCTGAGGCAGGTGGATCGCTTGAGATGGGTGGATCGCTTGAGCCCAGGAGTTTGAGACCAGCCTGGGCAACATAGTGCGACCCCATCACTACAAAAAATTTAAAACACACACACACACAATCTATGTCTTCATCTGGTGATTTCCCTCCTACACTACATGGGTTCTTGGCAGACTCAGTACCCACTCGCAGACTCCTGTTCCCCCGACCCCCTTGTGACTGATGGACAAATGCCCCCACCGCTTCCACCACTGCCCTTCATCTCTCTGCTCTCCATAGCCTCTGTGTCTCGTTGCGCTGCTTCCGTTTGTCTAGCTGATCCTGTCCTGAGCTGCTCTGACCCGTCAGGGCTCTCCTCCCCACAGCCATGAAGCCCAGACTAGCCATGTTCCTACTCATATCTAGGAGGGCCTGACTCACTCCCCCAAGTTCTAGATTTGACTTCTGCATTTCACAGCAGTGAGGAAACAGGCCACCTGTATGATGGGCTCTGCTCCGTAAGCCAGGAACTCAGGCCGGGCTCTGCACTGCCTGCCCAGCCCCTCCCCGTGGTTCCACCTTCCCAGCATCACAGACTCAGGATGCAGGAAGTCCAGAGCAGCTTTACCCATCGCCACCTGTAGCCTCAGAAATGCGATGCTACTGGGAGCCGGGGAGCCGTGGGGCACCCGCAGTCTGGGACTGTTGAGCAGCCCAGCAAGGCTGAGTAGCATTTCAGCCCTCCTTCCTGGGACAGATCACCTTAGTTTGTGTGTAAATATGGCAACCAATAGGTCATCGGGTTGCATCCAGGAGCAGATAGGAATGTGCCTGTCAGAAGTCTAGCACAGTCCCTGGAGCATGCAGGTGCCCAGCACATGATATGTGTAGGGTGTAGAGTCTTCCTCTCCCAAGGCCTTTCACTCTCCTGATAGAGCTTTGCCCCATGCCTCGTTAAGTACATGATCTGTAAATGGCCAAGGCTTTGCACGGATAAATACAGACTCCTAGAGCTTGGGGGGATGGGGTGGTAGAGATCAAAAGGGTTGGGGGTGAAGATAAGGGAAAATGGCTGGGAAGAGGGAGAACAAAGTGTCCAGCATGCTCTGGACACAGCGTGGCCTATGCTGAAGATTTCTTCCTCACAGGCTACACCAGTGGCCCCTGCAGGGCTGGCCAGGCCGCCCCGGTCATCGAGGAACATTGTAAAAATAAGGGTTTGTAAACTCCAAGCTGAGTCTTCCTGCGCCGGGGTCGTAGGGGCTGGGATGTGGCCTGTGCAGCACCGCTGACCTGCATGTTGCCTTCCTGTAGCTGGCGGCAACCCGCGATCTCTAGAGAACAGCCTGGACGAAGAAGTGACCATCGAGATCGTTCTGTCCAGCTCTGGAGAGGAAGACTCCCAGCACGGCCCGTACTGCACGGAAGAGCCGGAGAGCCCCAAAGAGGAGCAGCGCAGCCTCCCCGCCTCCCACCGGGGCAGCGCCGAGGCTGGGGGCGAGGTGCAGACCTCCAAGAAGTCCTACGTGTGTCCGAACTGTGGGAAAATCTTCCGCTGGAGGGTCAACTTCATCCGACACCTGCGAAGCCGCAGGGAGCAGGAGAAGCCGCACGAGTGCTCAGTGTGCGGGGAGCTATTCAGTGACAGCGAGGACCTGGATGGGCACCTGGAGAGCCACGAGGCCCAGAAGCCTTACCGGTGTGGTGCCTGCGGGAAGAGCTTCCGACTCAACTCCCACCTGCTCTCCCACCGGCGGATACACCTGCAGCCGGACAGACTCCAGCCGGTGGAGAAGAGAGAGCAGGAGGCGTCCGAGGACGCGGACGAGGGTCCCAAAGAGCCGCTGGAAAATGGCAAGGCCAAGCTGAGCTTCCAGTGCTGTGACTGTGGGAAGGCCTTCCAGCGGCACGACCACCTGGCTCGGCACCGCAGCCACTTTCACCTGAAGGACAAAGCCCGGCCCTTCCAGTGCCGGTATTGCGTCAAGAGCTTCTCGCAGAACTATGACCTCCTTCGCCACGAGCGCCTACACATGAAGCGCCGTTCCAAGCAGGCTCTGAACTCCTACTGAGCCTGCCCACCTGAGGCGGCCTCACCCTGGCCGGTGCTGCCCCCTCACATTGGTACTGATCAGCGCCCCCACCCAGGACGCCCCTTCCCCAGGATAGAGAGCACACCTCCCTCCTGTCCTTGCTCTCAGGTAGTGAGCGTTCGGGTGGTGCCGTGGGAGCACTCTCCCTCCCCCAGGTATTGAAAGAGTGGCCAAGTGAGTGTTCTGTTTCTGCTGTGCCAAAAAACGGGGGGATGTGCCACCACCAGGTTGGACATGCCAGGTGTTCTGCGTCTTAGAGACCCCTGCCCCGTGCTCCCCAAGCTCGGGGAGTAAAACGGTTATCCCCCGTCGGGGCAGCACCCTGGTCACCAGCCAAACCTCAGTATACTCCCTCCCTCCCTTCCCTGTCTGAACCTGAAGCTTCAGGGTGCCTGCACTTCCACTGAGAAGCTGCTGGAGGGTGTTGGATTGGAGGAGAGAAGAAGGCAGGGTGGGACTGACAGGTTCAGTGGGGAGCAGGGTCAGGCACACTGAGCCAGACATGTCATGTCTGAGCCCAAGATTCGTGGCCATCAGGTAGGCAGGAGCACCCCGCAGATCCAAGATGATCAGGCAGCCCTTTTGGGCTTGGAGTCTGTGGCAGGGGTCTGCAGAGCTCCTTCTTCAGGTTTGGTAACAGTCATCATACCTTTTGATTTTCCTGAGGGCCAGTTACTAAGCATCTGGAGCTCACCGAAAACAAAGCTTACATTTTAATTTGTGTTGCACACCCACCCCATAGTGTCTTTATACCCCAGAGATCCTTGGTAAATGCTTGCGGGTTGGAAGCTGCGTGGTCATCGTTTAAAAGGCACTTAAAAGTCCCTTCTTCCAATCTGTCCTGTCTGGGAATGTGGAGCTCAGCCCCCAGTGAGGGGTTCTCCTGTCCCGTGAGCCAAGCTCCAGAACAGAACCTTCCCGACATCACACTTTACATATACATTAGCTTGGAGTGCTGGTGTGTCCATTTTCTAGGTCTGTTGTAACGAAGTGCCGCACACTGGCTGGCTTAGAACAACAGGAGTGTGTTCCCTGCTAGGTCCGTTGTAACGAAGTGCCGCACACTGGCTGGCCTAGAACAACAGGAGTGTGTTCCCTGCTAGGTCCGTTGTAACGAAGTGCCGCACACTGGCTGGCCTAGAACAACAGGACCGTGTTCCCTGCTAGGTCCGTTGTAACGAAGTGCCGCACACTGGCCTAGAACAACAGGAGTGTGTTCCCTGCTAGGTCCGTTGTAACGAAGTGCCGCACACTGGCTGGCCTAGAACAACAGGAGTGTGTTCCCTGACAGTTCTGGGAGCTGCACATTCCGGATCAGGATGTCCTCAGGGTTGGTGCCTTCCGAGGGCTGTGAGGGAGAAGTGGCTTCGTGCCTTTGCTGGCAGTTGCCGTTCCTTGGTGTGTGGAAGCGTCACGCACTCTCTGCCTTCATCTCCACGTGGCAGTCTTGCTGTGGCGTGTCTGTCCCCAGGCCTCCCTTTGTTTAAGGACACCAGTCATGTCGGAATAGAGCCCATCCCACCAACTCCAGTGTAGTGTCTTCTGTGTCCGCAGCAGCTGGTTACCAATAAGGTCACATTCTGAGGTACTAGAGGTTGGGACTTCAACACTGGAATTTGAAAGGGACAGCATTCAGCCCGCGACTCCGGATAAACGTGAGGTATGCTATCATTCCTGATTCACAGATGAGTCAGTACACACTTGAGTGAGCTTGCTCACTGTTCGATCGAAGGCAGTGTTCAGACCCAAGTTTGGCATTCAGGGCAGGTGTCCTCTGCGTGGAAGAATCTTACTCAGTAGCCTTAAGGCTGACAAATTCCCCTCCTCCCTGCCTTCTGATGGGGGCTGGGCAGGCCAGCTGGAGCTGTGTCTCCTGCTGGGATTCTGGACTGAGTGACAGTGGGTAGTGAAACCTCAAGCATTTTAAAACGTGGTATTGTTCCTGGAAGACCGGTTATGTTGGCTAGGGTCAGCAAGAGAGGGCATCAAGGCTGTAGTCTAGCAGTGACTTAATCTGCAAGTCACACCAGACGGGTATTTTGTATTATTCATATGTCAGATCCTACCAACAGGCAGTGAGCCAGGCAGAGCTCCTGGTGCTCCTTGTCACTCATGTAATTTTCACATCAAGAAAACTCTGGGCCGGGCGCAGTGGCTCACACCTGTAATCCCAACACTTCGGGAAGCCAAGGTGGGTGGATCACCTAGCTCAGTGACACCAGCCTGTGCCACATGGCAAAACCCCATCTCTACCAAAAATACAAAAAATTAGCTGGGTGTGATGGTGCACGTTTGCAGCCCCAGCTACTCTGGAGGCTGAGGTGGGAGGATTGCTTGAGTCTGGGAGGCAGAAGTTGCAGTAAGCCAAGATTGCGCCACTGCACAAGCTGGATGACAGAATGAGACCCTGTCTCAAAAATAATTTAAAAGCCTCTGCCCCAAACTCGTTAAAAGATTTGATAACCACAACTACTGTTTCTGTGTAGATGCATCTGCGTGCCCAGGAGCAGTAAATGCAATAAAATCATTTGGTTATACTTTGAACACAAACGGTTGAGGCTTTTGCTTTCTAAATAGTTTGTCTCTTGTATCAACATATCTGGAAAAGGGAGAAATCCGATTTTTAAGGCCAAGGGAGGGGAAAATTCCAAGTAGAAGCCAGGCTGTCTGTGCACGTTTACCCCACCTACCTGTGTGCTCCTACCTGTCCTGAGGATTCTCTCAGTACCTCTGAGGTCTTGAGAAGGTTGTTCACCTTCCTGCTTCAGACGTCTGACTCAGAGAAGAACATTGTTCTACTTACCAGAGTGTTTTCTGTGTAAAACCACATCATGAAGGAGAAAGCGACAAAGGGAATGTGAGGGGACTGGAAACCACCGGGAGGCTGTCTCTTGAGTCCCCACCACCGATGCAGAGCCAACCAAGGCACCTCAGGAAATGGAATTGCCTCTGGATTTGGAAATCCTCCTGGGTAATGTAGCTGAAACCCAGGTTGATGCCATGCAGCAGGAGCAGCTGGGAGAACCGGCTCTCAGGAGAGGTCTGCCAACCCTCCAGCCCAACACCCTTCACCACGGTGGTGGAGGGGGCTGCACCCCCGTGATCTTTGTCTCCCTTTTGACCACTGACACCTTTGGCCTTAGCTGAGAACAGCTACCCCTCGGTCCTTCCCCCCCACCCCAGGGGCTGGGTAGCTGGCTGGAGCTATGTCTCCACCTTGCTCTGGAGGTTGAGACCCCATCTGAGCAACATCCTCCCTCTTCGTTCCTCCGATCCCTTGGCATCGCCACAAAACCACAGGTGCATAATAACTCACTGAGTCAACATTCCTGTTAGGCTTTTCATTTTCATTTGAAAAGTAAAATGTGGCCGGGCGTGGCGGCTCATTCCTGTCATCTCAACACTTTGGGAGGCCGAGGCAGAAGGATTGCTTGAGGTCAGGAGTTTGAGACCAGCCTGAGCAACTAGTGAGACCCCATCTCTACGAAAAAAAGTAGAAATAGTAGCCTGCTGTGGTGGCACATGCCTGTAGCTATTTGGGGGGCTGAGGTGGGGGAAGATTCCTTGAACCCAGGAGGCAGAGGTTGCTGTGAATGGTGGAGCGCCACTGCATTCCAGCCTGGGCAACAGAGCAAGACTTCATCTCAAAAAAAAATAACATAAAATGTGAAGCACAACCAAAAGATGTTTTCTAAGACCTGTAGGCTTTTAGATAGTTCTGGTCACCTGATCTGGCCCCTCCCCAAAAGAAAGAAGAAGAAATAACTGTTTCATACACTGGGGATAGATTGTACTCCTGGTCACACCACAGATTTAAGCCAACCTTAGTCTTTTTTCTGTTTTCTTTATCTCCCCAACTCTTGCCTCAGCTAGAAGAAGAAATAAATTAAAAAGATGAGGCCACTGGTGGGAGGGTCCCTATCAGTCCTAAATCATACTGTGGTACAAAGGAAAGAGAAGGCCAGCGTTGAGGCTGTGGAGATCTTGTCCAAGTCACTTTTCTCCTGTGAGATGGTTTCCCTTCCTCTGCCAAAAGCAGTTGGACCAGACACAAGTACTTCTGCTTGCAGAGTTATGTAGACGACTCAGCGATGATTATAGCACTTCAGCAATTCCATCAAATAAGCCCACTTTTATTTTGTTTTACTTTATTTTTTTCCCTAAAGACGGGCTCTCACTATTTTGCCCAGGCTGGTCTCAGACTCCTGAGCTTCTCCCACCATGGCCTCCCAAAGTGCTGGGATTGTAAGTGTGAGCCAGCACACCCAGCCTCCAGCCACACTTAATATTAGCAACAAACACTGATACTGTTTGGTCTTAAAAGTGATGGTCAGTGCCCACTACTAGTCCATGCAGCAAGGCTAGAGGTTAGAAAACTTGCTTAGGGCAGACCGGCCACAGAAAAGGGAGTGTTGAGGGGACCACTGAAAGACCAGGTACCTCCAGCAGCCCAGACCCATATATAGGGCAGCGGGTAGAGTGCCAGTGGTCCAGCATCTGGGGGATGGTTTCTAGCAATCATGAGCTCATCAAGGGCAAAGCCCAGGGGGTCCATCTGTACCTGTTTTGCCCATCGGAGGCCAATTGGGAACTTTATCTTCTCTTGAAACCATAGCCTATAGCCAGGTCACCATGATTAATGTGCATATAATCACCAAAGTACAGAGAAGCCATAGAAATTCCCTGTGAGAAGATGCAAAACTCTTAAGTGTGGGAAAGCAGAGTCCTCAGGAATACACGGAAGTGGGAGGAACCAGGGGCTTACCTCACACATCTTGGCCATAGCCAAGAATATCACAGGCAAGCGGACAACTATGTGACAAAGGGCTGTCTTCTAATCACACAACCAAATGGCAGGGGAACCACCCTTTTTCCATCACCTGCTTTAAAAAAAAAAAAAATGTAGGCCGGGCGCGGTGGCTCAAGCCTGTAATCCCAGCACTTTGGGAGGCCGAGACGGGCGGATCACAAGGTCAGGAGACCGAGACCATCCTGGCTCACACGGTGAAACCCCGTCTCTACTAAAAACATACAAAAAACTAGCCGGGCGAGGTGGCGGGCGCCTGTAGTCCCAGCTACTCGGGAGGCTGAGGCAGGAGAATGGCGTGAACCCGGGAGGCGGAGCTTGCAGTGAGCTGAGATCCGGCCACAGCACTCCAGCCTGGGCGACAGAGCGAGA